ATGTACTATATTCTGCCATGCCCGCTGTGGCTGGTGTTGATGCCATGTTTTCACCGTCACAAATTTGCCACCGAGATGTGATTGAGAAACTTTGCAAATATGGAGCTCAGAGGAACGCTACAAAGTATATAGTCTTCAATAAAGACTGCTTTAATAGGCTTTGTCACTATCGATTGTTAATTTTGACGATCTGGATGTGGGCTGAATTTTCCTTTACAAGACCGACTGTCCAAAATACCACTTATGGTCACATGACCCACTGTTTTACACACGTTTCATTAAATCTATTGTAGTTGTGTTAATTGTAAACTAACCATGCATTCAATAACTTGCAGATATCTTGTTGAAAGGCATATTTAACCTTGGCTGTAGCTTTTATTGATGGTACAACTTGTGTCTGGATAATGAACCAAAGCACACAACAAAATACATTTTAAGCACCAATGGGAGTCTGCACTTGGCCTGTCTTATGTGTGTGTTTGTTCCACTGATATCTCAAGAACCACATCAGTTTTTGATAAAAACTTGATGCATAGATGCTCTGGCCAATGCACAGATTTGATTAGGTTTAAGTAAAAATCCCATGCATATTAATTGTGTAATTTGCATGATAATTAGCTAATTTTCAGCTGTGCCATGATTTTTTTAAAGAACCACTCTGAACTGATGTGCAGTTTTGATTATTTTTGGGTAAAAAATTGCATATTAATTACCTAATTTGCATAATGATTAGTCAATGTTTGGCTTCTCCACTGATATCCCAAGTACTAGTCACATTTCAAAGAAACTTGGTACATGTATGTCATAGGACACTGCACAGACCTGATAGTTTTTAGGGTAATATCAGTAGATATTAATTACCTAATTTGCATAATTAATTAATTTTCAGCTTTTGATTTTTCAAGTAGAAATCATTACATTTCAATGAAACTTGATGCATAGATATTCAAGGACTATGTAGAGATTGATTGTTTTGGGGTAAATATTTGTGCATATTAATCAGATAATTTGCATAAATAGTTAATTTTCAGCTTTTTCACTGATATCTCAAGTACTAATCACATTTCAATGAAACTTTGTACATAGATCCTCTTGGACTATG